GGCTGATGGGGAAGGAATGTGCCAGAGACCCCCATGGTCAGGCTGGGATATGGCTAGGGATCACTGAACTGCTGGTAGAGGTGAATGCTACGTGGAATAATCATGATGGGGGACGAATTTCCCAGGCAGAGATTTCAAAACAAATGCAGCTGGTGTCAGCAGAGCCTGGGCCAGTTACTGGAGGGGGCAGATTTCTTCATCAGGTACCGGCTGACCCAACAAAAGGTGATGTTTTTTTAGATTCTGTGTGAGTAAGGGAAGGAGTGACTCAATTGCAAGAGAAAAAAATACTCAAGGAGCTTAACGTGCTCAGATCTGAAGGCCAAATATCCATGGGGAAAGACAATTCCCAGAGTGATGTCTCATCCTTTAAAAACAAACCACAGATGAGATCCACTCAGTCTCAGACTGCCAGCAGGAAGGAGGGGGATTTGTTGCATTGGGCCCCTGTGATTTCTCGTTTGGGTACAATACACTGGATTAACTACAGTCAAAGGAGAGCAAAATGACATTGGAACAGGTGCAGGAATGGGTCATTAAGGGGACAGGGGCTGGACAAAGGCATGGATCAAATACTTGCACTGAGGAGGGGTGGAACTGCTCTCTGAAATTACCCTCAGGAAGGTCAAGAAGGGAAATAATAATTTTAAAGCTAATGTTAAGTATAAACTGACTAGGAATAAATTTAGGCTGTAAGCCATAAATTCCCTCATCATCAGGCTTTAAAACAGGACCAGAGTCAAAGGCAGAAGGTGGAAATTATTACAAATGATTCTGTGCAAGCAGCTCCATGGTCTGTCTGTGGATAATAGCAGCAGACAAGGTGTCAGTGACCCAGGAGTGGTGTCCAACCCCCGTGTCCCAAGAAATTTCAGATTCCCTGGGGTGAAGGGCGAGTGCCCAGTTTGCTGTCAGCTCCTAGTCAGGGTTCTGGAGAGGATTTCCCAAAAAATTTCATGGAAGTTTTGAGCAGAGTGAGGCTGCTGGCATCTTTCACATTGTTTATCTTATTCCTCAACCATCTCTGAGGCAAACCCATCACATCCAGCCTCTTCTCCTGCTTTACTGCCTCAACCAAAATTCCTGTTGACATCAATGGGAGCCCTGTCCAAGTCCAGGCAGCAGGATGAGGCCTAACATCTTTCCTTCCACTCAGCTGGAAAATAATAACAACAACAGCAATAATAATAATAATAACAATAACAATAATAATAATAATAATTTTAAATCCTGATAGCAGGTTTGGGTTTTTTTTGAAAAGTTAAAATAACATGGTGCTGTGACTAGAGAGTTACAAGGGAAAGTGCATCAGGAATGCGATATTGTTTCCAGATGTACAATGTCATAAAGAATTTTTTCCACACTTGGAATGGTAACAGGAATTTTTTGAGAGAGATCATTTACACAGTGATGAGATATGTTACATGTAAGTAAATGCCTGTATGCCTGGAATGTTTGTACCATATGTCTAAATAGGTGTCTGGGACTGATACAGATTTTATATCTGGGGATGTGAATGGATTTGCATATCTGTGATTTGAAGAGCAGAACACTTTAGAATGTAAAAAATACTGATATGACATAGTTGGGAGAGGGAAATTGGTAATACCCAGGTGAAGGTTTGTAAAGAAACACAACCCCCTGAGCTGTGCAGGGAGGTGAAGGAGGGGCAGCACAGCTCAGAGAAGCTGAGTTTCAAGTGCTAAAGACACTATGGCTGGATGTCACGGGAGGTGAACCCTCCGTGTGGGTTCTGAGCGAGGATTGCATTACAGAAATCCACCTGGGAAACAAAAATAATGTGGAGATACAGCTCCAGCATTTCTCCAGGACTGTGGGAGAATCGCTGCTTTACGGCTCTGGCCTCTCAGCTGATAAGAAAACCTTTGCAGATTGGCAGGGAGAGCTCAAGGAGTGTGAAAACAGCTTAGAATCCTGTAATTCCCCCAGTGTTCTGAGGGAGATGGGATCTGTGTTTGGGAGGATGAAGGAATAAAACATTGCCCTCTCTATTTCTTTCTTGCTTGCTGTGCTCTGAAATCTCAGCAGATGTGACAGTTTGGTCCAGCTTTTGGGTGACACAAAATCTTAAGTTTTTATGCTGTCTGTGCCTAAAATTTGGCCTTCAGCCTCAATTACCAGAGTCCATGGTCTCCCTGACCTATTTTGTTGTTCTCAGATCATTCCCCTTAGATTAAATTTTGCATTAACAAATGGTGTTAGGTAAAAGATCATCCACTGAGAATAGGCAAAGAAGGCAAATTGTCATACACAAGAAGTGGTGCCATCAGGGCAGGAAAAGAAAAACTCACCAGAACCATTTGCCAGCACTGTGGGCAAAAGTCAGAATTTAAATCTCCAGGGAAGTTTTCACATCACCTTTCATCAGCACTAAATACAGGGCTTTTTAAAAAGGGCTTTGACTATTTTACGATGTTGGGAGAACAAGTGTTGTTGATAAATATGTGTTCAGGAGGGTATTGGCAAAAGTGCACAGAAATGGTTAACAAGGTAATGGTAAGAAATGTTGACCTTGATTTGTTTAGCTAAGATGTAAAGATTTTTGAAGGTCAAAGGTGTTCTTGTGTAGTGTTTTGGAGTCTAACTGTGTCTGACCCTCTAACATTAAGCTGCTGTGGCCTGCAGTTTTGAAGAGTGAAGCAAACCAGGGGGAAAGAGGGAAGGGGGAGAGAACAGGAAATGGAGTGAGGTGTTTCAGGAAGTTGTCAGGAGTTGACTGATTGATTCCAGATGGAAAGGGTCACCCTTCATGACCCAGGAAATACTCACTGGGGGAAAGCAGTTGGCTTGTGAAAGTGAAGGGCCTGGGAGTTAGAGACCATGGTGGAATGCGCATTCCTCCTCCTTTTATCGATAAAACATTGGTTTTTAATCTCCGGAATAAAACAATTATATTGTGATCTCCATCAGGCAGGAGGGAACAGCTGGGGCAAAGTGAAGAAATTCTGTCATTTGGATGTCCATGATCTCACGTGTCCTTTCTCCACACCATGGATGAAGAGTTGGGTGGTGGTGGTGTAGCAATGACAAAGATCTCTGCCAAAATTCGGGTTACTGCAAAAAGGGTCCCAAATTTTGAGAAGGTTCTGCTCCAGATCTGAACTTTGCATCTCATCCTGTCCACAAGAATATTGTGTTTATTTACCCTGGATCCCAGCCTGTGACAGGCCAAGTGGCTCTGGCCCTCCTGTCATGGATGGGAAAGGTGGATAAAAATGGAACTGCACATGGAGAGAGGTCTAGAAGTGCATCTTCCATTCCTGCTGGCTAAGGGAGCAGAAGATGCTCAGCACATTTTCTGGACTGGTTCTTGCCATTACTCTGCCATTGCTGTGGGGATCTCTACGTCTCCTACCAAAATGTGGCTCTTGTGTTGTGCACAAGCCAAAAGGTGATGCCAACACTGACCTCTGCTCTGGGACAGTGACAGGATCCAGGGAATGGCTGGAGCTGTGCCAGGGAGGGTCAGGCTGGAGATCAGGGAAAGGCTGGATTTTGGGAAAGGCTCTTCCCCCAGAGGTGCTGGCACTGCCCAGGCTCCCCAGGGAATGGGCACGGCCCCAAGGCTGCCAGAGCTCCAGGAGAGTTTGGACAGAGCTGCCAGGGATGCCCAGGGTGGGATTTTGGGGTGTCTGTGCAGGGCCAGGAGCTGGACTGGATGATCCCAGTGGGTCCCTTTTCCACTCAGGACATTCCATGATTCTATTCTATGTGTGAACACTTGAAGTCTGCCTCTGTTCTCTCCTCCTGTGAGCAGGTGGGTGTGTGTTTATCCCACTCGTGTAAGTGAGCTCAGAGATGTCTCTATTCCATAGTGTAACTGTATATACAAGACACACTTTTTATTTACATTTGGTTGCAATTTAAACACTTGTCATAAATATTTCAGACACTGGAATAATTCAGGCCTATTCCCCTTTGCCACAGCGTGTTCTGGGCTGGCCAGTGAGAGACTAAAATTTATTTCCATTGTTTAAGGGAAAATAATGAAGTGCATCTGAGTGGGCTCAGCTATGTCATGAGGGAAACGTTCCCTTTGGATGGAGTCACGCCCCACCCTAATGGGAATGAGGAAATCAGTTGGCACACAAAAGCAACACATTCTGTGACAAGAATGCTTGAGAAATATAAGAGTACAGGATGACAAGAGCCTTTTGGAATGAATTAGAGTTGTCTCGAGAAAGAAAGTATTCTTTAAGCTCGCCTAAGTCTGGGGAGGGCAAGGTCTCTCCTGCTCTGTGCTGGATAGAGTTTTATCAACAATTAGAGCTTGACATTCTCTTACCTCGGCTGTGACATCTGAGGCTGTGTAAATCCATGAACACATCCAGGGTTTGACTCTCCATGGCTGTGCATTACTGTAGGTGTGGCAGTGGGATGGAATTTACATTTACACAAACTAATGGTCAAAACCACTCTGTCAGAGGGCATCTTCTTTCAGGAGTTAAAACACTGTTTGTTTTCCCCCAAAAAACCAGTTTTTGTGGTTTAAAGTCACACATATTTCTGGATTGATGGGATTTAAAGCTGGATACTGAAAAAACTAAAGTGGGATTAATTAATATATACAGTTATTTCCTCTAAGAGTTCAGATTGGAGCCCAGTCATGGAGACTGAGGTTTAAAACCTGAGGCTTGGTTTGGAGTGCTCAGGCTCAGATGATTTTTCAGGAGGCACCATCCACTCACATGTCAAAACCAGGCATGATATTAGGTCCTGTTTTCAAGGAGTTTTCATCCTGCAGGAGCTGGGTCATTTTACAGTGAGGCTTCTATACAGCCCACAGGATGCTGTGTTAAATGCAATTAATGCACTGAGTGAAGGCTGAAAATATTTTCTCCCTTTCTTAAACCCCTGCAAGGCATGCTGCCATTTTACAAAACAGGGTTTAGCTGAACTGAATAATTAATCCTTAACAAGTTGAATTTCAAATCAACTGTTTACCTGGCAGGTTTTTCCTTCTCTTTCTAAATATCCAGGTGGTGCTATCGACAACAGTGAACGTGGATGGGCATGTGCTGGCAGTGTCTGACAACATGTTCGTGCACAACAACTCCAAGCATGGGCGGAGAGCAAGAAGACTCGACCCCTCGGAAGGTGGGAGTTTTGTCTGGAGACCAGAGCAGAAATTACCCCTTCTTCCATTTCTGTTTGTTTTCAGGAGGGAAGGAGAGCTAAGGGGGAATTGCAGAGCCTCAGGGGGTTTGGGGAAGGCAGAGGCAGGAAAACAGTGTCTACTGCATGCAAAATATGATCCTCCTCACATCTAAGGGACTGACTCCCCATCCCCCTGCAATTTATTAATTAGTATGTACTGCAAAGATGAAAAACACAGAAACACCAAGTATTATCTAAATTTCAGCCCTCTCATTCAGCTGGGATAGATTTGATTTCAGGCAAATTAGGCAAGATGACATCTTATTTAAACAGAGCCGTTGCAGCACAAGATGTGTATGAAAAAGTGTCACTGGTTCCCTTAAACAAACTGTGCACGGAGCCTAACGATGCGCAGAGGGAGCTGACACTAATTGATGTGAGTTTGTTTGGCTAAGCCAGACTCATGGCCAGCTCCAGGATGGGTTGGGGACTGTATTCAAGCAATTACAAATTCTTGTATCTGTTAAGTTTCAAAATGTTCGGCCCCTCCTCTCCCTCTTCGTTCCCAAAACATTCCACCTCTGGCACACAGAGAGTGCTCAAAAATGACTGGAAAATGCTGGGAAGTGCTATCAGTGCCTGCTTTTCCCTCTCCTGCAGCCACTGAAAGTGAGAAGAGCTGGTGATGTTAGTAGAAAAGACAAGCAAGGATATTATTTCATTATAATGTTTTGCTGCCCCGCTTCTTAACTGTGCCCTGTATCAGCCTAAAAGAAGAATTAATGAACTGGAAGAAAATGATTGAATCAGTAAAGAATTCAGAGTGGTGTTAATTCTCCCCCAGCGGGCAGTGAAATGGTAGAAGGAAAATCCCAGGATTCCTAGCCTAGGAAGCCATCCAGTTTTTCCTTGACTGATTGGATGTGATTGACTGGCTGTTCAAAGGAGTCTCATGTTTTTGGAGCACTGCCAAAGTTCCCCTCCACCTCTGACCCTGTCAACATTGGGAATGGAGTGATGGATTGACTTTGGTTATGGCCTGGAAACCATATTGGGTTCCTGATGGGATGCATAGTCCATAGGCCTTGAACATATGGAAGAGAGAAATAAAAAAAAAAAAAAAAAAAAAAGAAATACTCTATAAATTCAAGAAAATTAAGAAAATTATTAGAAATTGTCTCCTGATATGAATTGGATGAGACATTTGATATTCCCATATCTTCTTTCACCCATTGATAAACGTAATGAATGTGACTCTACCTTTTTTTCCACAGGGTCTGTGTCTGTGGGATCATATGCTAATCAGTGGGTGTTATTTTGGATTTTTTTAAGCAGTCTCTGCACAATCATTTAAGCATTTCATTTTTACACCCACTACAGTTGGCCTATTAGGTTTTAATGACACAATGTTAAGTGCCAGTAATGAATAGGCAAGTAATTAACACTTGCAAGGCAGAAAACACTCCTTTATTTATTTCTTTATTTATTTATTGAAATACTGGGGTCTGTGGAGTGGTGAGCAGCTTCATGGGGGAATGGCTGGAAGGGACCTGTCCTAGGCCTCTGCTAGCAGTGGGAATTCAGGAATTCCCAGGTGTGGATGGCTGGAGCTGCAGCTCTCAGCTGCAGTTTTGCATCACTTGGGATATTTGATGCCCACAGGAATTTATCCAGGGATTTACACCCAGGCCTCAAAGCGGTTGGGAGGGATGAAAAAAGACACCTTAAAGAGATGTTTTGATTTTTTTTAATTATTATTTTGTGCAGCCACACCCTGCATCAAAGCCATCAGCCCAAGCGAGGGGTGGACCACGGGGGGAGCCATGGTGATCATCATCGGGGACAACTTCTTTGACGGGCTGCAGGTGGTGTTTGGGACCATGCTGGTGTGGAGTGAGGTGGGTATAGCTGCCCCTCTGCCCCTCAGCTGCGGAGAATTCCCTTTTCTGAGGAGGAATGGGGTTAATTCCTGCTCCTGTTCCATGGTCTGTGTGAGGTGGGACATAGAAACCCGTGTGAAGGGAACCCATGGAATGTGTTTTCCTTGCTCTGTGATATTATTGAATGATACTCAGAATGGAACTGAACAATTCTAGGTGTCTATAAAATCAAAGAAATTATTAGAAATTGTCTCCTGATATGAGCTGAAGGAGACATTTGATGTTCCCATATCTTTTTTTACCCACTGATGAACTTAATGAATGTTACTCTACCAATTTTTCCACAGGGTTTATTATTTACACAGGTTTATTTACATAAGCAAAGGAAGAGAAATAAAGAGAGGGTTTAAATTTGGGAAGAAGAAAAAAAATCCATCTGGGCCCAGAATTAAGCCATCAATTAAACAATGGGCTTAACAGCACAAGTTTCTTGATGCCAATCCATCCTAAAATGTGTGATCCTCTCCCTGGAGGCTAGGATCTAATTCAGGTGTATCCCTCTGCTGATCTATAGTGATAATTAAAAAAAAAAAATACAGTTTTTCCTGAGGCCTGTGATGGCAGGTCAAGGGGGAATGGTTTTAAAGTGAACAAGAATAGAGTTGGAAATGAGGATGACATTTTTTATGGTGAGGCCCTGGTACAGGTAGCCCAGAGAAGGTGTGGCTGCTCCAGCCCTGGAAGTGTCTAAGGTTGAACAGGACTTGGAGAAACCTGGGATAGAGAAAGGTCCCACTGAGGGTGGGACTGGATGATCTTTAGAGTCCTTCCAACCCAACCTTTTCTGTAATTCACTCATGAAGTAAAAGAACAGAACAGACACCTGATGGTGCCTCTGCTGTTGCCGTTCCCAGCTGATCACACCTCACGCCATCCGCGTCCAGACGCCTCCCCGGCACATTCCCGGCGTGGTGGAGGTGACATTATCCTACAAATCCAAGCAGTTCTGCAAAGGAGCACCAGGCAGGTTCATTTACACAGGTGGGTGCCTGGGATTTGGGCTGCAGGAGCCGTGTTGGTGATTAATTAATTAATTAATTAATTAACTCTCTCAGTGGTAACATTTGGGGGTGTAAGGAGGAGGTTTCATAAGGCATTTTTCCTGCACATTAGTACTTTTCCCATGTCACAGCATGGGTCTGCTTACAGAATATACAACCAAATATTTATGTTCGGCCTGATTATATTTGAGTTTTTCTTTCTTATTTTTTCTTTTCTTGGAAAAGAGTCACACTAAGATTGTTTGAAGAAGAAAATGACAAACTGTTGGAAAGATGAATATAAAAATTAGCTGTACATTTCAAGGGTAAATCTAACTGGCACAGTGAGGCTGTTATGGGAGTTTATCTGTGACCTGTAATGTGTCTTTATCTCGGGCTTCTGCAAAGTGTGCTGTGCTGGCACTGCTGAGCTTCTGGGGCACTCAGTGTTTCCACTCCCAAGTGCTCTCACTCAGGGGTGCTGCAACTCGGCCATCAGCCTCCTCTCCTCGCCAAAATGGGACGTGTGGACTTTTCCATAAGGTTCCCACCTGGAAAACTTCCTGCAGAGTGAAGCCAGCAGGATTCTGTAGACCTGTAATGATGTGCTGGAGAGTACAGCAAAAACCAGACAAATGGCTCGCTGGAGGGCAGTGGCAGCTAAAGTTGGCTGAACCAACTTCAGCAGCTGAAGTAAGAGATGAAATACTTAAAATGAGAGAGAATAGCCTGTTTTTAAATCACCACATAAGGAGCTTGGAAGTTCGCTGTGATGTCCTTGCTTGGCTTGGCCAGGAGAATTTGGCTAAAAATGAGGAACAGGAGCAATGGACTAACCCAGAAAAAAAAAAACTTTCATAATGTAAATAACAAAATGTGACAACCACAGGTTACAGAGGCTAGATTCCAAAGACCCGCGAGCAGCCAGGTACAGGGGCATCTGAGGGCAAAGGTCCAATCCTGAATGTGAACTCAGTGCATGACCTTATAAGAAAAAAGTCCTGAACCAACAGAGGAAAAGAGCAGGAAACTTGAGCAAATATAGGATAGTCCTGGTAGCAGACTGGCTCCCAAGAACTCAGAGTTCCCACTGTGACCCAACTAGGTGTCCCCCTCAGTATATTGTCCACTGCAGTCTGAGGTTAAAACCCTCTTTAAAAGCATCTGAAGTAAAAAATCTCAACAGGATGAGATCCCACAACCACACCAGGCATTTAGTCCCTGTGTGTGCCTTCATCTGGTGAGGATACAGGTTGCACACACATCCCTGTTCTGAATTGCTTTCCCTTCATCAGCTGCTCCTGGAATAAAAAGACATTTGTTCTCTGCTGCTAATCTTGCTGTAGCCTCATATTCTGCTTTTAATACGACACAAATTCAAATTCTCTGCTGCAGTAAGTGGTTCCATTATAGTTCCCCTGGTTTTAATAACACACCAGTTTATGCCAGCTGAGGGCACATCTTGTAGGCTTTCGTAGTTCAGCTTTGATCACAGCTCTGCATTTACTTTGTCACAGGGATGCTAACCTGGAAATGTGTATATCAGGGAGATTTGGAACATAATTTTCCTTGCTGAGCAGAAATCCTCCGGGGGTTACCTTGTCAGAGCAAAGCAATATAAAATCGTCTGTGGGAGACGCTGGGCTCTGGGTTGTGCTGTATCAGCCTCTGTGCCAGGATCCAGGGATGGGAAGGTGCTAAATCTTGTAAGGAGATTGGAGCTCTTGTTTTCTGCTTGTGAGAAACAACACAGGATGCAGAGAGCTCCATAAATTGGAAGAGTGAGTTCCCTTGGACAGAAAAAGCTGAGATGATGAAGCATTTCCTGCTGTCACTGCTTTAGCCTGTGAGAAACATGGGGAAATAGAGAATTCCAGGATCTGAGGGGGCTGACAGGAAAACCAGAGAGGGACCCTTCATCAGGATCTGCAGTGACAGGACAAGGAGTAATGGGTTCAGACTGAAAGAGGGGAAATTTAGGTGAGATTTACAGAAGAAATTCCTCCCAGTGGGAGTGGTGAGGACCTGGCACAGAGTGCCCAGAGAATCTGTGCCTGCCCCATCCCTGGGAGTTCCAGTGCCAGGCTGGACAGGGCTTGGAGCATCCAGGACTAGTGGAAGGTGTGACTGCCCATGGTGGCAGGGTGGAACAAGATGATTTTTCAGATCCCTTCCAACCCAAACCATTCCATGATTTAAGCTTGATGCCACAGGTGCCTTTTCTCTGTTAACACCTTAAAGGTTGGGCAGCCCACTGCAAAAACTGCTCTCCCTGTACCACAGCTTTGAGGGTTCAGGATATTTCTAGAGATCTGCAGACTTCGATTCTCCTGACTTTCATCTAGAGATCTCCAGACTTTGATTCTTCACAGGTTTTCCCTGTGCTGTGCTTTGTGGGGTAAATCCAAGGTGAGCTGCAGAGCTGATGGTTCTTATTGAATGATCCAAAATATCCTGAGCACCTCACAGGAGAACCATCTTCCGTGCCAGGAGAAGAACAGCACATGGACGTGCCTTCCCCACATCTCCCAGGGTGGCAGCAGCAGCCAGAATTGCTGTGTTTAAGACGAAAACACAGGTTTTGAGGGGTAAAAAACATCAAAGAGGAAGCACTGTCCAGACTCTGAGGCTCACATAAATAAATTCAGATAGTTGGTGGCACATTTAGATCCGTGCCTACTCTTATACAACAAATCTATTGTTAATACAGTCGTGCTAGGGAGAGGTTTACAGGCTCACTGATAATTTAGTTTACTCCCTAGGTGAGTTTTCTTTTTGTGCATAAATTATATCATGCCATGCACCGTTTTTTAAACTATTTTGGGAAGTTTAAGTGACCCCTTGAGCCTGAAACTCTGGATTTGAGGGTTGCCAAATGGATTTTGTACCTGAGCCTATTTTCTGAGGGGTTTCATTTCAGATATCTGATTTCTAGGAAACAATGAACAGCCTGCTTGTCTGTCAGACCCCTTTATGGTCTCTGAATCCATGAACATTTGGATATAATTCTGGCATATTTCTATGTAAAATACAGATAAATCACTCCTGACCCAGCAGCTCATTCCTCAGTGGAGGTGGGATTGTGGGGAAGCTGCTTAAACTTGCTGGTGAATTCTTCATCTTTGGCCTTCACTTGGGAAGGTGTCATTTATTCCTACAAATACTTGGTACTGGTTTTTCGTAGGATTTCATAACAGAGATATTTTTGTTCCATTAATGAGTAAAACCAGTAGTGGGCAATTTTGTTGCAGGCTGTACAGAAAACCTTTGTGCTGAAAGACAATGTACACATTGATTCAGGATGGCTGAGTCCTGTGAACAATTCAGCATTGCTGGGAAATGGTTTGCTGCTGTTGATCTATCAGGATGAAACTGTCCATGTCAATCCATTGGAAAAATGTTTGTTGAATAATAGCCAGCTTCTTCCTGAATTAGCATTTTGCATATTCCCACTAGCTATTTCTGGTAACTTTATATATAATTTGAACCCCTGTATATTCCACATGTCTGGATTCCTATGTATTTCAGATTTCTTTAGCTTTAGATATATCACTTAAATGAATAGATTTGTGATCAAGAAGAGAAATGGCACATAATGATATTTAGGCTCTTGAGAGAACTGGCCTCTAATTCTCAGGATTATTGGCAAAATAGCCCACCCCCAAAAAACTCCTCTTCCCAAACGGGATGTAGATTCTGTGGCAGCTGAAATGTGTATTATTAAACTCCTTCAGCAAACCAGAATGGCTCCCAGTGGAGAGCAAAGACATTCTAAGTATAGCCAAGACTAAATTCTCAGGTCTGGGTTTTCTCTGCTCAATTCCCACTTGATTATCTCCTGTAATATTTAAACTTCATGCCATGCCATAATTATTTAATAAAAAGTAAATATAAAATGTATCTCAGTGGAGAATGTGACCTTTTACTTTCATGTTGTTATACTAAAGGCAGACAGGGATAAACAGGGAACAGGAATAAACAGGGAACTTGGATCAGTGTAAAACTCTGTCTCATGTGATGGGTTCTTCTCCTGGTACAGATGGTGGTTCTCCTGTTGAGGTGCTCAGGATATTTTGGATCATTCAATAAGAACCATCAGTATCTCTTGCAATCAGAGGTTTTCAGCTATGCCAGTGACAGTGTTAGTTATTTTAAAAAAATAAAGATTTTTTTTTCCCTCCCAAAAGAAGCACAAATAGTACAAGAAGGTCTAAGCCAGCACTGACTGAGGGTAGTGCTAGAGGACCTACATATGTTACTTATTAAATGTGTCATGAAATTATTTGCAGAATCCTCAGCATGAATGTGTCATTTGTGTTAAAATGTGCATTCAGAACAAGGGAACTCAAAGAAAAACATCCCTGTAACAGTGCTGGTGCTCAGTGGCACTGCTGAGGTGTTAGAGGCAGGCAGAGCCCGAGCACAGAGAATGCTGTAAGCTGACTTTTGGGTTCTGCACCAATTTAAATTAGAGTTTGAATAATCAGCAAATTGAGTATTATTGCTGCGATTTCCTAGCAGAGACTGGGAAAGTGTCTGCAGTTTTCTGAAATCATCAGCGATGCCAGTAGGGCTCTGCCAGCTATTGCTAACTGAGGATCTGGGTCAAAATATCCTGGTTTATCCACCAGAGATTAAGATCATTACAGGGAAGTGGCAGAGTATGCAGAACACACAACTGGGGAAGGGAATGTGTCTAATGAATAACTGTGCCCTACTTCGGGACTGCAAAACATTGGGGGAGCGTGTGGAATGTGTTTATTAGAGGAGCAAACACGGCTGTCTGATTTCTGGCTGTGCAACCAGCAGGAGAAGACCTGTTCTGGTGTGTTCTTGTCTCATCATTTGCTTTCTTGCTGTCATGGTTTTGTCCAGAGTGAAATATAAATCCTAAAAGGAGTATTTTGTGACAGTGCTGCTGCATCTTGCAAATTATTCATTCTATTCAGCCTTTGATAGAGGGTGAGAAGTCAGCCAGGGAAACAGGAGCAGCTTTAAGTGCAGAAGTCATGATTTCTTTGTTGCCCTATTGAGACAGAGCCATATAAAAGTACATGTTTAGATACAGCCATATAACGTGGTGGGGTTTGATGTTTCCCTTCCAGCTTTAAATGAACCTACCATAGATTACGGCTTCCAAAGACTGCAGAAGGTCATCCCAAGACATCCTGGGGACCCTGAAAGATTAGCTAAGGTAAAATAATTTTAAGCATTTCACTCAGCCCACCAAATGTGTTTTTTCACTTCTAATTCATAAAAAAGACACAATTCTATCTTAAATGACAACCACATCTGAATTAACCAATTAGTTGTAAGTCTGGCACGCCCGGGATTTGTCTCCGTTTTGGCGCTGCGGAGGCGGAGCAGGTTCAGGACGCTGGAGAGCTCCGGGCCAGGAGGAGCCCCGGGCACGGCACGGCCGAGCCGGGATCAGCTCCGGAGGGACCCGTGTGCTTCTGGGGGGATGCTCAAATTCCTCAGGTGCCTGGCAAATAACACCTGAACACAGCACATGAACGCAGCCGGGCTTCAGAGTCACCACACTAACACTGGGGTCACTTGAGAGAATACTAGCTCATGGTTTCATTTTATTTATTTAATTCTTCTCTTCTCTTCTCTTCTCTTCTCTTCTCTTCTCTTCTCTTCTCTTCTCTTCTCTTCTCTTCTCTTCTCTTCTCTTCTCTTCTCTTCTCTTCTCTTCTCTTCTCTTCTCTTCTCTTCTCTTCTCTTCTCTTCTCTTCTCTTCTCTTCTCTTCTCTTCTCTTCTCTTCTCTTCTCTTCTCTTCTCTTCTCTTCTCTTCTCTTCTCTTCTCTTCTCTTCTCTCTCTCTTTCCTTTCCCCTTCCCCTTTCCCCTTCCCCTTCCCCTTCCCCTTCCCCTTCCCCTTCCCCTTCCCCTTCCCCTTTCCCCTTCCCCTTCCCCTTCCCCTTCCCCTTCCCCTTCCCCTTCCCCTTCCCCTTCCCATTCCCATTCCCATTCCCCTTTCCCATCCCCATCCCCTTCCCCTTCCCACTCACCTTCCCCCTCCCATTTCCCTTCCCATTCCCCTTTTCCCATCCCCCTTCCCATCCCCCTTCCCCTCCCCGTCCCCTTCCCCTTCCCCTTCCCCTTCCCCTTCCCCTTCCCTCCCTCCTCTCCTCTTCCTCTATTCTATTCTATTCTATTCTATTCTATTCTATTCTATTCTATTCATCTATTTATTGCATTTATTTTTTATTTTACTTTATTTAATTAAATTACATTTATTTATTTTTATTTACTTTAGTCTAGTCTAATCTATCCTGTTTTACTCAATTTTTTTATTTTATTTCTTTTCTCCCGTTCTAGTTTATTTTACCATTTTATTGTTGATTTTTATATTTATTTGCTTGTTTCTATTTTATTTTTTACATATTTATTTAATTAATTGTATTTTGTATTTCTTTTTATTTATTATACATTTATTTTTGGGTTTTTTTTGTTTCTATATTTAAAATTTTATTTTATTTATTATATATTTCTCTTTTTGTTTGTTTGTTTATTTTCTTTATTTATTGTATATTTATTATATATATCTTATTTATTATATAATTATATTTATTTATATAATTATATTTCTTAATATAATTATATTTATTATATATTCATATTTATTTATCTATTTATATTTATTATATATTTATAAAATATATAGATATATTATTTATTTTTATTTATTTATTTATTAAATATCAATTTTATTGACCAGAGCTATTTTTTTGCCATTACAACACCTCTTTCCCTCTGCTCCACAGGAAATGCTGCTGAAAAGAGCTGCTGACCTGGTGGAAGCCCTCTACGGGACGCCCCACAACAACCAGGTCAGGCTGCTGGGGGAAGGTTCCCCCTTGCTCCATCCCGGCCCTGAGCTGTCCCTCGTGAGACAGAGTGAAAATTTAACAGGGTAGAAATCAATTTAAATTTAAGTAAAATGTGCCACTTTCAGCTAGCTAAATATGCTGCTTAGTCTAGTAACTGCAACACTAGCACAACTACCCCAGCTAAAAAAAAAAAAAAGAATGCAAACTTCCACACTAAAAAATATGAAATTAAAAAAAACTCCTCAGACCTTAAAACATAGAATATAGACTCTACATGCTGTTTGGGAAGAGGAGTTTTTTGGGGGTGGGCTATTTCGCCAATAATCCTGAGAATTAGAGACCAATTCTCTCAAGAGCCTAAACATCATTATGTGCCATTTCTCTTTTTGATCACAAATCTATTAATTTAAGTGATATATCTAAAGCTAAAGAAATGTGAAATACATAGGAATTCAAACATGTAAAATAGAATTAAAATCCTAAAATACTTCTATCCAAAACAATACCCAGTAGCCTTAGTCCCAAGTTCTAATCAGTATACTAAAAACATCATTCTATGCCATTTCTCTTCTTGATCACAAATCCATTCATTTAAGTTATATATCTAAAGCTAAAGAAGTGTGAAATACATAGGAATTCAAACATGTGAAATATAATTAAAATCCTAAAATACTTCTATCCAAAACAATACTCAATAGCCTTAGTCCCAAATTCTAATCAGTATACTAAATCTATACTAAAATCATTATTAAAATGACAAAGTTGAGTTTTTCATCCGCATTTCCCTGGTTGGCAGGACCTGATCCTGAAGCGCGCGGCCGACATCGCCGAGGCGCTGTACAGCGTGCCCCGCAACCCCGCGCAGATCCCGGCGCTGCCCAGCTCCCCTGCCCACAGCTCCATGATGGGCATCAACTCCTACGGCAGCCAGCTGGGCGTCAGCATCTCCGAGTCGGCGCAGGGCAACAACCAGGGTGAGCCCCGCAGCGTTCCCTGCAACCCCAACCCAGCCACGCTCCCCAATCGCCTTTCCCCTTGTTATAGATGAATGCCCGGCCAAATTAAAATAAAATATTTATTTTTGCAATCAAATTCTATCTAGCCAGACACAAGGAAAGAACAGAGCCGAGCCCGGGGTTGGCACCAGCAGTCAGCCTCAGCAGAGGTTTTCCTCTATGCCCACACCTCCATCCTGGCACCAGCGGTTTTTATAGGGAAAATTCCACCTGAGGCCAAGATTTCGCCAGTCAGTCTTTTCTTCCATTCAGAGTCCATAGGTTAATGAGATTTTCTTTTTTTGGTGATGAGGAAGAACAATTCAGTGTCAGGAGTTGGTGAATCCCTTGATAAAATTTATGGGAATGCTGCATTCACATGGATCTGCCCGAGGATTTCCATGAGATCCATCTAGGGTTGTTTATGCGCCTGAGGTCCCCGTATCTCTCCAGCCATGGCCCATCTCCCATCTCCTGCCCAGCCACATCCTTTTACCTGTAAATCAGGTTCCAACATACACCAGGTTCTCCTCCAAGGGTTGGGGAACTCCTAATACAAACGTATATACTCCAACAAATATTCAATATCACATATATCACACTAGAGATGGTGCCAATGATATCTCCTACACATAACAGCCTGGATCTATTTTCCAAGCTCATCGTGTGCCTGGTGGTGGCTTTAACTCTGGGCATCCCAAAGAGTGCTGCTGCCCCTGTGTCTTATCTGAAATAATTTTTGATTACTTTTGATACCAACCCACCCCTGAATTTTCTCCCTGTCCCCGTCAAAATACCTTTTTTTATTTTTTATTGTATCTCTGTTTTCACAAACACCTGGAAAAAAACTCACACAGTGGTGGGAAATTTTCCTTTTTTTTTGTTTTTAAGGCAGCTATTTCAGTGTTCATTTTACCAACATTCATATATTGTATGTATTACTTTTAGTACAGATAAACTATTGATTGCGAGGAAAACAACCCATAAAACATAACACACACAATGCTGTCCAGATCTTCGAATGAATTTAAAATTTTAATAAATTTTATTGGAAAAATATACATTGGATCACTTCAAAATGTTGGTTCAGAACTTAAAATGCAGGAAAAAACATTTAATTTACCGGTGTTTCCTATACGTTTTAAATGATCTGGGTTTCCATGAGGTTTATTTAAGCAGGGGATGCGCAGGGGGAAGCTTTGAGCCGCAGAGGTGTTCTGAGATGTGTTTTATTTCCAGGTTACATCCGTAACACCAGCAGCATCTCCCCGCGGGGGTACTCGTCCAGCTCCACCCCTCAGCAATCCAACTACAGCACCTCCAGCAACAGCATGAACGGCTACAGCAACGTGCCCATGTCCAACCTGGGCGTGCCCGGCTCCCCCGGCTTCATCAACGGCTCCCCCACGGGATCCCCCTACGGACGTACGGCCCCGCGCCGCGTACCCCCACCCCATCCCACCCCCAAACTCCACACCTGGCTCTGGCACATGCCGGAGCAATCCCTGGTTCAGGGCTCTGTGGGGTGGAAAAGTCTCTCCTCCATCCCGTGCTTCCAAAGAAAGGCTCAGCAGTCTCTGTTGTTTGGTCTCAAGGCAGTTTATTGCAAGTTATCTAAAAGATTTTCTCCTTGGGCTGCTGTAGTTTGCTCAGCAGCTCAGGCAGAGGCACACACACACCCTGACATCCTCTCTGTCCCCTAATTTCTTCTTTTCTCCCCCTGCCCAGGGCTGCTGCTGTCTTTTATATGGTACATTACGTGTTACATGGTTACAGTTTTTCCCCAATGCCCATTACCTATATTAAATGGTGCTTTTCTATCTTTTATATATACATTACGTGTTATATGGTTACAGTTTTTCCCCAATGCCCATTACCTATATTAAATGGTGCCTTCCTACTCTAAACCGATCTGTGAGTGCCAACATCACCAAGAACATGGAGGGAAGGAAGGAGAAAGAGGGAGGACAGGGCAGGCCCAAATCCCTCCATCTTAAAACTTCTGACCCCCATGTACAAAACCAAAACCCTCCTGTACAGCACTCAAAAATTCTTCCCTCCTCAGCAAACAGTTCCTGGACAAGTTATTGGAGATAGAAAGGGGCTTTTTTCCTTGCAAGGCACTTCTTCAAAAAGTAGCCAATTTAGAGTAAAATCTAAGCAGCAGCTTGAAACCAAGGAAAATTAATTTTTAAAAAATTGGGGAAGACACAGGATTTGCCAACCTTTCTAAATTGCAAGGACACTGAGTGGACAGGCCATTACAGTTCCTATTGACTCTGGTTTTCCCTTGATCATTTTCAATTTTCTGGCACCCTCACCCTTAATTTTGAAAGAATTAAGCGTTGTTTTTTCTGAACGATTCAGTTTAAGTCCCTCTCTACTTCAGACTTACTCTAATTCTACTCTCTGAGAGAATGAGACCTCCTTTGAGAGGTAAAAAAAGGAACAAGACAACGGATTCCTGAAACAGCTTTACCAAAGTTCTGATGAGAAATTCCTTTTTTTGTCCTTTGGCAGTGATGTCCTCAAGTCCAACAGTCGGCTCCTCCAGCACTTCTTCCATCCTCCCGTTCTCCTCCTCGGTGTTCCCTGCTGTCAAACAGAAGAGTGCCTTTGCTCCTGTCATCAGACCCCAAGGGTCCCCCTCTCCCGCCTGCTCCAGTGGCAACGGGAATGGCTTCAGAGGTGAGGAATGTGTTCCTGATAATTCCCATTAAAGCTCCCATTTGGCAAACGCAGCCACCGCCACTCATCACCTTGAGTGCCGTCACACGGCTGCTGCAGCGCTCAGGAGTGAAAACCTGCCCCAGCCCAGCTGGATTAAAGGGTTAATCCAAGCTTTTAGGGGCTGGGCAGTGATTTCCACAGGAAGGTTCTGACCCAATGAGTTTCAACCCCAGAATGGTTTGGGCTGGGAAAGGACCTTAAAGATCCAGTTCCAACCCCCACCACAGGCAGGGACACCTTTCCCTGGAATATCAGCTCTTTTGTGGGGAATGACTTCTCCTCAGGCTTGGGGGACTTGTTAAACAGAGCAGAGTTAATCCCCAGCTCTGTCCAGAACACAAACCTGCTGCAAGATTTAGGCTCAGCCCGGGAATTGAGCCCCACAGCCCATTTACAGCCCTTTTAAAGGTGATCTGTGAAACAAATGTGAGCAGAAAGATAAGAATGGAAACCTGTACCGAATTCTTGCTTTTAACAGGCTGGGCTGGGGGGGGAGTGTGTGCAGCACATAAATATGTTCCAAGTCTCCATAAAAAATGCCTTTATAGGGCCTGGGAAGTCATCTGGCTCCTTCAGACTTCACTAGAGATAGCCTAGGAAACACAGCTCTGGGAATTGAGCCGTGCCAAGAGCCAGTGGTAATTCCAAATGAGCCCCACAAACAGCACCTGTTTGGCTGGGTGTGATATAAACCCTTAGCTGGGCCACAGGAACTTGCAGAAAGTGTGATTATTTTATGCAATAAGGAAATTCTAAGTATGCTGAACAAAAACAGTAACATTTTTAAAAGCTAACTCAGAGAATTCTGAAACAGCTCCTTCCTGTGCCCCAATTACAAGAAAATCCACACTTTCCTAAGATAATTTTCTTCCCATGAATGGCTAGATCCATTGATCTCATCATGCGAATGCACAGATTTAAGTCTGCCTTAAACTTGTCTAAGTGTTATGTAAAGAAGGCCTAAATACGAAGCCTAAATATTAAGGAGTTACCTGAGGTGGTGCTAAACACAAATCAGAGAGAAAACCACTCAGGCTGCTTCTGGGAGACAGAAAAAGGACAGATTAAGAAACTACTGAAATATTTCAATTAATATTTTTCCTTAAGGTAACACTCAAGGCTCTGCTTAGAAGGAATTTTCTCTCTTTCAACCTATAAAGGAATAAAGTACTAGAGACAAGCTGGTGCCATCTATGCATTTTATCCAGTCTAGAAATCAGTAATCAATGAGAGATTCTAAAAATAGAGCTTTAATATTAAATATAACAAAATCTCAAAGCTAAAACCTGACATCCATCCATTTCTACTGACCAAAGTCCAGTCCTGAGCTGGTCAGGATTAATCTATGAGTTAAGGTTGTGAATAATTGCTGAATTAGCAAAATCAGAGATAAATGGATACAGAATTTATTAATCACATCCCTTTCTTTGTGGGATTTCTACCTGTACATCAACACAAACATAAGTATATTCATATGCTGCAACTGTTAAATTTAAGGATTGGTCAGTGACACAGCAAGAAGAAACAAGGTTTGTTATACCAGGTCCTGGTAACTATTGAACTCTTCCAGCCATGGATGCAAATTCCAGCTGAAATATTTAAATTGATGCAAGCTGGGGAGCACATGCTTTGGAAAAGATCCAGGTACACACAGCCTGATATCCAAATTAACTTTCCCACAGTGCTGACAGACAGATGTGGCTAAAAAGTCAACAGGAGGCTCCCAAAGAGGCTTCTTGCCTGGACTGAGGCAGTGGGAGATGGATAATGCCCTCTGCCCCTGGGGCTGGAAACCAGGGATAGGTGTGCTGGGCATGGAATCTAAGATTTATTTACTTATCAAACTTCGGCATCCCAAAATGCTGCTGGAGAGAGAATAGCAAAAGCACAGGGCAAGCTATGAATATGTGCAGGCCCCTTTCCAAAGCCCATTAATTCTGAATTTCCCCACTGATAACATGTGGAAAACATCTCCTCAATATAGTATAAATAATATATATTATAGAATTAGATATCTACATTTAGAGGATGATAATCTTCTTCTTCATCATCTTCTTTATCTTCTTGTCTTCCTCTTTTTCTTCTTTACCAGCCCCTCAGAGCATGCCACCCTCCTTACAGGTAGCAATGAAAATCTAGATTAAAACTTCCATATATGTTAACCACAGCAGTATTTAAGCCTGAATTAAAACCAGTCTAAAGAGGAGCAGCTGTGCAATCTTCATTCTCAGATTTGCATTGCCATTATTCCAGCAGTTTACAGGGAGGGTTTTTTTCCCAAAACTGTATTTTAGGAGGATTTGCTCCCTGTGAGGGCAGCGAGTGGCTCGGATGGAATGCCCAGAGGAGCTGTGGCTGCCCCAAACCTGGAAAAGTCCAAGGCCAGGTTGGAGCACCCTGGGACAGTGGGAGCTGTCCCAGCCCATGGCAGGGGGTGGGTGAGATCAGCTGGAATGTCCCTTCTAACCCAAACCATTCCATGATCCTGGAGCTCAGCACTAATCCCCTTCCCACTTCTCACGTTTGAATTGCAGCGAGTCCTTTTCCACTCCAAGACAGTTTTCCAAAGGCCACTTGTACTCACCAGGCTTATGATCATTATTAATTGCACCCATTAAAGGTGCCTATCACCAGATCATCTGGGTGCTACCCATCTTTGATTATTTATTTATAAAAAAATTCTCCAACCCTGTGACAATTTTAATCAAGTGTTTCAGCTGATAATTGCAAGCTGTCAAGGTTAATACAATAAGGCTCATCTCTAATTCTTTTTCCATTTCCTTCCAAGAGAAAAAAAAAAGACCCTCTGGGATAATGACTGGTGGTTGCTATATTCCCAACTCATCAGGGAGTGTCCTGCATTGAACCACCTTTATTGAAAAGTTACATCGATTCAATATATAGTAATACAGGCAAAAATAATTACAGCTTTGCTAGCAGTGTAAGACCTTAATCCAAACCTCCCAAACATTCAATAAAAAGCGATCCAGGCTGGGAATAGGCTTTTGACAGTGCAGCCCCAATGGGGAGTGGAGGTGGGGTGGAAATGGGCAGAGCAGGGTGTGTGAAAAGAGAGAGAAGCCGTGAGATGAGCTGGGGAAAACCAGGTGAGAATTCCAGCCAATATTCCTCCACCGACTCATTCTTTGTTGCAGGAGGGGGTGAGGCTGCAAATGCAATGCCAGTGACACAAATTAGCCTGTGTTTGTAATTTCTGTGTTAACGAACCTGCTGTATCAGATCATGGAATCACAAAATCCCAGGATCATTTGGACTGGCAGGGACATTAAAACCTGTCCAATTCCACTCCCTGCCAGGGGCAGAGACACCTTCCACTATCCCAGGCTGCTCCAAGCCCCATTCAACCTGGCCTTGGACACATGCAGGGATGGAGCAGCCACAACTTCTCTGGAAACCTATTCATTCCAATACATACATTATTTTATTATTAATATCTCTAATCCTACAGTAAAAAAATGTGCTTTCATTTAAAGTTAAGCAACTTCCCAAAATAACGCCATCTACAAGTTTTCTCAAAATATTTTTGAAGAGACGTAGCAGAAACTCAGGTTTAAACTTTGCTTTGCTTTGCTGGAAGTTTTCCTTGATTAAAAAGAGTGAAAATACTGTTAATAAAAATAGCACCACAAAAAAGCATTTATGTCGTTATGGCCTGACTCTCTTGGGAACAGAGCTCAAACTACATTGGCAGCAGCCCCTGAATGGCTGAAACTAAGCTGTGCTAAGCTGTTCCAGGGGTGCAACCCCTGTGCCCAGACATCCAGCAGCCAGAAAAGCTCATCATCCATCTGTGCAGGGCTCCTTTACTTGCTGCAGGCACAGACCCAGCCAGGACACCTCAGACAAACACTTTAAACCCCTGGAGGCAGCCTGGATGGTTTTGCCTGGGGCAGAGCAGGAGGATCTGCTCCCCTGGGACACCTGAGGGCTGCTCACCTCTTCCTCCAGCCCAGCAGAGCCTGGAGCAGGGCAGAAATCCAAGGCTAAATCAAATTTTCCCTTCTAAGGACAGAAAGGCAAGCATGGGGTCAATACCCAACTCTCCGTGTCGCTCTGGGACACCACCAGTAGGATTATTTTTGGGGTTTGGGGGTGAGGAGAAGGAATGGAGCAACATCCTTGGTGTCATCAGAAAATCTCTCTTCTAATGCACCCATACATATCCCACAAACAGTGAAAGTGTTTACCTTCTTTATTTAGGTTTGAAAATATGATGAACCGCAGCAAATTCCAAAGCAATTACAAAAGGTATCTGTTTACTTAGGGCTGTTGGGTTTCACTTTCCCTTTCAGCTATCAGCTAAAATTGGCAGGGACCTTAGCCCCAGTCAGTAAGAAAATATGAAAATATTTATTTTCCTATTGTATTAAATCACAGACCATATCCACAGTTGTTTAAAAACACAGCTCCAGTAACAGGCTTGTGTTAGCTCAGGAACTTGCCCAAAGCACTTTTTGAAACCCTCTCAAGGAAAGGGTGAAATGAATTCTCAGTGGGACGGGGCTTTAAACACACCAATAATTCCACAAATTTCAGTGAACGTAAATCTTTGCAGGATTAGGATCTCGCACTGCACCGAGGCCCCTTTGAAAAGGTGACTCACTCATTTGTTATATAAATACATCTAAACTCAACTTACCCCTCAAAACCTTGGGGAGCAGCACCGGTTCCAGGCAGCTCCAAATGTTGCTGCTGTGGGTTATGAGGAGTAGAACTGCAATTAAAGGCAGGAGAGTGACTAATAAATAATTTACATAAGCCCAGTGTTCTGGGAGCGTGCCAGGTAGAGCTGCAGTGACTCAGACACGTGGGGAAAACAAAGTGAGGAAGTGAGGCTGTTTCCACTGGAACCAGGCTGGCAAAACCCAGCCCTGGGCTGATTCAGGGCTTGGAATTCCCTGGCTTGGAATTGTCAGTAGCATGGGGGGAGTTCCCTTTGCTTCCACACCGTTCCTTGCTCCCAGCCCTTCCCTGCAGAGGAGCAGGGTGGGTAGGGAGCAGAGACCCTGCTCAGTTTTGGTTTTTGAGGATGGTTTTGAGTGTTCAGCTTGAGCAGTCTGAATTTGGGGACAGTTCTCAGCAATGTCCACCTCCAAGGACTTCTCTCCAGAGATAAGAACCCAAAAATGGGATGGTTTTTCTGAAAATGCACACAAATTGAATTAATCCTCTCTCTTTCCATCCATTTAATAACCCTGGTGGGCCTGGGATTTTCACAGAATCTGAGAACCATGGAGTGGTTTGGGAAGGGACCTTAAAGCCCATCCAGTGCCACCCTGCCATGGCAGGGACACCTCCCACTGTCCCAGGTCGCTCCAAGGACACTGCTGGGGATCCAGGGCAGCCCTGGATCACCCACACAGGAAGAAATTTATTCCTTTTTCCCCTGGAATAGCCCTTTGCCCATTGCCTGTGTCACAGTCACCCCTCACAGTTCTCACTTCAGCACCAAAAGTCTTAAAGACACAAAAATTCAAATTTAACCTCAGATCAGGCCCTTCCTGTGATTCCTGACTGCCCACAGGAGGGCAAAGGGCTCGAATATATTTTGTTCCATAACATTTTGCCACAATTTCATCTTTTTCACTTTTCTTTTTCAGCCATGACTGGTCTTGTCATTCCCCCGATGTAAGGAAGGGGCAGTTTTGCTGCTCTCCCTCCCTCTTCCATTTTTTCCTCCTTTTTTTTTCATTTTTCTTTTACAGCACAAAACTACTTATTGTGATGGACCACTAAAAAGAAAAAAAATAGCACTACAAGCTCTTTTTTGGGGAAAAGCCAGGCCCAGGAAAAAAAAGGAACATTTTTTATGGATTGGACGAGATAGAAGTCTGCATCATTTACCTGTTTCATATTTCTGACACAACCACATCAACTCCTCAACCATTGGCAATGAAGAATCAGCAAGAGCCAGGATGAACAAGAGTTGGCAGAATGGAATTAGAAATGCAAAGTCTTTCCTGGAAAACACGAAAACCTTCCTAAGATTTGTAAAATATTCAAAGGAAAAAAAAAAAAGAAATTGGCAAAATGTTTCAAGGTTGATATTTTGGATACAATTTGTTTTACTTTGTAGGGGTAAAAAAGTTGAAGTTTCTATTTTCTATGGAGCCTTTCGGATATTGATTTAGTTTATGCAGAAAAACAATTCAACAAAACAGGGTACCAGCATGAAAGAATTTCTAGGACAAACTGACATGAATGATGGAACTTTGGTGTATGTGTGTATTTGCTTATAGTTTAACCTCTTTAAAAAATGTAAGATGTTTTACAATTATTTAAATAAATAAACTTGTAAGTTATTGTATGTAGAGGTAGAAATTAAACCCTGTTTTGGATTTTTTCCTCCAGTTGTACAATGAAGACAGATGATGCAAAAATGTAGTGATAAGTTTGAGATATATTATTACTGCTGCAATTGCTCCTCACTTTCCCCCCCTCTTACTGAATTCATGTGCAAGGATGTATAGGATTCTTTCTGATTAACAAAACCCTCAGAAACTTTTACCTACATTGTGGTAAACGGCTCATGTAGGAATTTTTTCACCCTCCTCGTCTTTCCCCCATTTCCATTTTTTGCTTCAATTAAAATATTCAGGTACTAAGATTAACTGCTAAGTCTCAAAGACCCAGCTGACGAGTGAGTGGCACTTAGGGATTTGAGTGAATCGGATTTTTCATGAGGTACTGAGTATATTTTATAGATTCAATGTATGAATTATGAGGGGAAGGGTTCTCTGGGGTTTTCCATGTAGTTAGAACACCTTAAGTTCAGTTATGCTTCATATTAAGGGTGCATTTAAAAGGGTGAACATGTATTTGAATGATTTATGCACTTTTATCCTGAGTCATTAAAAATGGTAAGTATTTGCCAGTTGGATATTGAAGTTCATAGAGGTAATCAATCGCTTTGAATTTTTCTGCATTTTAGCCTAACAAAAAAGTTTAGTTCTCCTTTGCATCTCCTCTCCTGAAATTGGAAGGCGAGGACAAGTCTGACAAAATAAATCATAAATTATCCAACTAAACCAGAGAGCACTCAAAGGAATTTGGTTGTTGGAAAGCCATTTTTAGTGGGGAAAAAAATAAACACCATCTACACTATGGAGACTCCTCTAAAATCCACACAATTAATGGCTGCATGGACAGCTGCTCCTATGGAAGCACCTTGATGTTAATCAAAAAACCCTAAATAAGGCCCCAGGATCTGAACTTATCCGTTTGCCCAGTAGTTTTATGGATGGGTAAGGAAAATTGTATTCTTGGTGATCTTTAGGGATGGTAGAAGTTGAGCTGGGCTTGGGATGGTGAAACTGGGACGACTCACCTGGCTGAGCTCATTTGGAGCTCATTTGGAGCTCATTGGGATCAGGAAGAGCCAAAACTCCTGTCTGCAGGCCCACAGCTGGATGGTGATGGGAGGCTGAGGGGGGATGACCTGAGGGACCCTCACCTGAAGGACAGGTTTGGGCACAGGGCAGGAGAGCAGGACATGGAACAGAAAATCCTGGGATGAGGGGGTCGGAAGGGACCTTAAAGCCCATCCAGTGCCACCCCTGCCATGGCAGGGACAGCTCCCACTGCTGCTCCAGCCTGGCTTGGGCACTGCCAGGATTGAACAACCTTCCAAGGATGGGACAAGGTCCTCCAGGTTCCCTTTCCTGCTGCAGGGCACAGTTCAGTTTCTGGGATAAATCCATCCACTGCACGTGGAGCTCTAAAGGAGAGACCAGATTTGGAGACTCCGACTGCGCTGCTCGGGCCATTCCTAAAGCAAGTCCCACTTGTTGGGAAGGATTTTGTGCTCCTGACTGTGCTGTAAGGTTTGGCAGGGTCCTCATTTGGTGCCTTCTCAATGCCATTGAGTCCCTTTTTAAAAAGGTGGAAGGGGGTTGGGGGGTTAATCTCTTCTAAAACTCAAGGCCCAACTTATATCAGCAAAAATGACAATTTAAGGAGAGATTTGGGGGGAATAATGTGAGTTTAAGGAACATGTATATAATTAATATTTCACAGTCAGGCTAATGAAACTGTCTGAGTTCCACAAATAATGAAATAAAATAAATCCCTGTTAGTTATGGCTGCAGGTTGATTGTCCTCATGGGTCCCCTGCGTACCCCTTGTGCCACCAAGGATGTGGCAGTCACTGCAGGTCAACCAGCACCCCTGAAACCAAATGAGCTCTGAAATATCAAATAATAGATGTCCAAAAGTCTGGAGTTGTCAGTGAATCTCTGAGAACACAACAGGGTGCAGGGTCTGACCTGGATGTTCCAAACAGCAAAACAGCAACAACAAAACCTCCAAAATATTTAATATATTCTTAGGTACTGATATCCCAGCAGGGCTAAGTAGGAAGTTCAAATTCTTGTTTGGAATTATGCATTTATCCAGGGATAAAAATGGATTAAGGACTGGAAGAGTTGGGATTAAAACTTCCATAAATTTCAGTGAAAACACATTGAGTCCCAATTCCAAAAATTATCTTGGTGGACCAGGTTTATTCTATCAAATCCCTTTCTCCATTCCCACCTACTAAAAACCCCCAAAAGCTCCAAAGATTGAAAATGGTGAATATTCTCTGTACAGGCTACTTCTAAAATTGATCATCAGATAGACTCAATATTCTGTCTGGCAAATATTCCAGATCAATTGGAATTTCTAGACCACCTGCTGCAGAGCAGCAGTTTGCTATCTTAAATCTTCTTCGTTTTTCTTACAAATGGGATTTTCACTACAAAATCTCAGTCAGGAAAGTTTCCAATTGAAAAAAAAAAAAAAAAAAAGAGATTTCATGGGAAAAGCTGGGTTTTGTCCATACTTCTGTTTTATTTTTTCTTAGTCAGCACAGGTACATGAAAGAAAGATTTAACACATCACTGAAATCTTGGGAAGATTCAGGGGTAAAAATGACAGTCTGGCAATAAAAAAAATTAAATAAAAAAGGAAAGTTTCTGGAACACTGAGCATTCCTTTCACCCTTCAGTTATTTTTATTAGTTCTGTCCAGTTGCCCAGTTGCCATGAGTCCAAGTGAAAAAGAGAAACCTCTCCGAAAAGCTGCTCCAAGCACTTGCAGAAGAGGAATTGCCTGTGTTGATGCAAATGTGAAAAATCTGGTTTGCTTTAAGCAAAAAAAAAAAAAAAAAAAGAAAACAAATTAAACCTAGGAATTATTTAGAACATGGATTTTGCTCATGCAGGGAAATCACGGTACGAGAGATGAGTGTAGAATTAATTGAGGTTTACAGAGAAAAACACCTTGAAATAAACACAATCAGAAATCCTTGGCCACGAAAAAGGACTTTGGCGGTGGCAAAAATGTCAGAGAAAAGGGAAAAGATGATTCCAGAATTGATGTGTGAGAATTTCTTCAGTAATGAACAAATCTGTCCTCTTTGAGTGGTCGCTGTTGACAATTCCCTGAGAGTTTTCCTCTTTGTCACTGGGAAGATGAAAGTGTTGCAATAGGTGATGAGAAATTTCATCCTAACTTTGGAAAAGTTGGTTTCGGATAGTGATTTAATTTCTCCCAATTTCTCCTAATTTAATTTCTTCCTAATTTCTCTCGGTAGAGCATCTTCCTCTCCCTCTTTCTTTGCACACTTCCAATATGCATGGTTTCTCCAAACCCTTCCTCCCTCCTGTAATTTAAGGCCTCATTTCTCCCTCCTGTATAGTTTTGGGGTTGGCTGGTTGGTTTATTTTTTTTTTTTGGGGTTGTTTTGGTTGTTTTTTTGTTTTTTTGGTTTTTTTTGCTTTGTCAGTTATATACAGTATGAAGTCGCTATGCACAGAGCTTTTGTAAAGATAGCTTTTTGGGTTTTTTTGTTTACTGTTTTTAATGGTCCTACTTATGGAAGAATATCTTGTTTGTAAAATGAGTATGTCTACTTCGGTTTTAAACTTTAAATTATCCTAACAAAAAAAAATAAAATTTTTGTACTGTAAATAAGGGGGAATTATCTTAATTTCAGTGTTTAATCTGCTTCTTTATCATCTTTTTGGGTCACTCATGGTAACAATAACACTTCAAAATTGCATAAAATATTATGTGGGAGTTTTTAAATCAAGATTTGAAGAAGTGCCTGTAAAAATATCCAACCACAATCTGGGAGAGACAGGTTGAGATTATGCTGGCATGGAATAAGAGGATAATTAATGGTCTTTTCTCACCATTTCTTTATTACAAATGGACAAGACCTGTGTGAGAGTTCAGCCTTTTTTTTTGGGGGGGGGGGGGAAGGACTTAAAGGGTTGCAAAGGGGGAATTTGGACACCTTTTTGGACAATTCCCCTTTTTGTTATGAGTATACAGGTGTCAAAGAAAAAAATCAAAATTAAAAACAGGGACTGACTGATCCTGGCCTTTCCCTGGACTAAATTTGGGGTCCGGTTTTAGGCATTTTTAATTTGTGCAAAACTGAGCAAACAACAAACTGCAGAGGTGAATCACACTGGCTCCCAAAAATAATTTGGATATATTTACTCGCTCTTGTGCAGAGTGCACCTCTCAGCCACAGGGATGGACAAAACAGAGTGCTGAAAACTGCTTGGAAAACGGTAATTGGCCATTTGAACCAGAAATATTCCATTTTCTTCACTGAAAATTACTGGAAAGGTTCAAACAAATGAAATTTTAATGATGAAGGTCACTTTTACTGACATTTTTGACAGAATGTGAGTCAGTATTTAAATTATTGCCAGATGTCAGTGAAAGCATCTGAAAACATGAGGCACTATCAGCCCTCAAAAACTGAGGGGAAAACGGAGGTTTTTGGTAAGCTGCACCAATTCCTGCTTTTGGGATGACATGCAATCAGCAGATGAGCTTCATCCCAGCACTGAAACCCAGGTTTTCCACTGTCCTGAAGAAAGATCCTTCATCTCCCTTGAACAGAGGCCCATTCTCCTGAAAATCTTACTCAGCTCTTTCTCCCCCACACAGAAATCCCAGCAGTGTTTGAAGTGATGATTTTGGTGATAAAACTCCCGGTTCCTGTGAAAGAGATTCTCAGATCCAACAGGGCCCTACTGTTGTAGTCCAGGGAGGAAGTGTGTTGGGCAGATGAAAGCTGGAGATCTGCTGCTCCACTCCTGCTTTTCTTACATCTCCTAAGGGCTCGATGATGGACAGATACAAACACGAGCCTGGGATGTGTCACCCCCTGAGCAACTTCCAAACAAAATGCTGAGGGAGGGAAGGCGGGGATGTAGGAGAGTTTCAGACCAAAAAAATCAAGTTTTTAACTCAAGCACATGAACAACTCCCTCCAAGCCCAAGTAGCTCAGATTATCTAGGATTATCTGCATAGAAATGTCTTGAAAAACAAAAAAAAATGCTCTAGGATCATTGCCACGAATGTATTTTATAATCAGTCTTACTCCATTCTGAAAAAAACATTGTGAAAAGAGGTTTTTTGGTCAATGTTAAGACCCAAAAAGGCTTGAAACCTCTCCACACGTTAAATCCTTGGCTGACCAGGTTTTACAGGAAGATCAGATGTTCAGTCTTCCCTCCAAGGTTGCTGCCACGCTCTGGGAAGAGTTGAATGACTTTGGTCACATCAGACATAGAAAGTGGCCCTTTACCAAAGGTAAAGTGAATTTGTAGAGTACCAGGAAGAGCAAAGGAATATTCCTCCTAAGAGCAGTGATAATGGGAATTCTAGGAGTGGCCAGTGATTGTGCAGGTTGTCCTTCCCCAGGGAGGGGACAGTCACATCTGGGCATGGCCAGGTTGATCTCCCTTGGCTCAGAAACACCTTCTAGAACAGCACATCCTCTCCCACCTTATTTTTAATTTTTGCTTCTTTCCAGGTATTTTCTAGATGGAAAAAATTTGAATTTTACTTCAATAAACAGTGAAACAAAAGCCACTCCTTCAGCCAGTTGTGCAGGGCAGGCAGGGAATTGCCAGCCCAGTTCAAATATTTATCTCTGTGACAACACACAGCTGCTGAGGTGCAGAGATCTGAAGCTTTAATGGCACCACGTTATTTAGGCAGGAATGTCTCATTAACT